TTTAAAAATGCAGATGGTATATTTACAATATATATAAAATACAGAATATACAAAAATTTGAGTCAGATGAAGAAAAAAAAACTCATGTCCACTCTCACAGCTTTATGGAAATCTACTCATTGCTCTCCTAATTGATATAGAGATAAGTACAAACAATAAACCAAGACAGAAGTTTCCATTCTTAATGATTATATAAAGTCCTGTCATCACCCACCAAATCATTTTTAACAAAACTTAGGAGAAGGAAAAACTGATCACCAAATTACAAGCAGAAAGTAGATAAACTGACTATTTACATAGGCATAATCAAATAGCAAATACAATACACCAAGAGCTTTCACACAAACAGATTATTAATTAAACACCCAGGTACAATACTACATATACTGTATACTCCACAGGCAATATTAGAAAATGACATACACAAACTATACTATGACAGAGCCATAATCACAGATAAAACAATTCATCATAACAGACATCACTCTCATTGAAAAATGCAGTAAGATTGCTTATATAATAGAAATTCTGTTCCAAACACTCATAACATAAAAGATGCTTACACTGAAAAAAAAAAAAAAAAATCAACAAGTACTGTACACTCCACTCAAGAAATAAGAGATGTGGAGGCTGGATAAATATTTATTGTAGCTGCTATCTTCTTTTCTATTGATGTTATACCACATACACTACACAAAAGTCTAGAAACATTAAACCTTAATAAAAAACATATACATGGCACTACAGAAAGATGCAATATTGAACACATGTCACATTGTTAAGAAGTTTCTAGATGTTGACACACATACCAATAACACAATTTAATGTTACACTTGTTTGGGTAGCTATACCTTGAATTTAGTCCAGCATAGCACTTGGAACCAGTTTCAGCTGAGCATGACATTTGCAATATATAATAATAAGATACATTTTAAGGGAAAAAATTCTACTTTTTTGTTTGGAAATATAACTTTGAATAATATTACATCTGAGTAAATCTCAAAATTTCACAATTTATTATTATATTTGGATTATACATGGCCAATTATTTCATATTTTTAATTAGTGGTTTTCTTTGAATGTCTACTATTTTAAACTGCATATTTTCTCTACAGTTACTATTAGAGGATAGTTATTTCTTTTGCACATACACATTTAATGTCTATATTAACAAAGTTTTAAATATTTATTAAAATTTTGATTTTTAAAATAAAGTAAACTTGAAATAGCAAATAGTATCTTTCTTTACAATGACTTACTTTCCATATATCAGTAATAAGAAAAATAATTAAAAAATATGCCTACTGTATATATTACATTGTCTATTTAAGTTTGTTTAATCAATAAATATAGTACTTACCGTAAAGAATTCTCTTATAGTTCAAATTAAATAGTAATTAGTTTTTTTCAACCATAAATAAACTAAATATAATTAACTCTTTTTTTGACTGATTTGAAGATGAGTCCATCTGCTTGTTTTTTGGAACACAAGAGTTTGAGTTTTTTTTTGGATGAAACGTTGTTTTTTTTTAGTTCTTCTGTTAGTTTAATGTATTTCTTTTGTAACTGTTTTTGTTTTGTAAAAATAAAGCATGTTTTCATCCTGGAAACTTTCTGTGTAGTGCTTTGAAGTTGGACATTACACTACCTACAGTAGTTTACAGTACTTGTTAATTTTACTGTTTCCCTTGTTTTCAAAAATCCTCAAATAGCATACACTACTGCTATTCAAGGACAGTTTTTATTTCAAGCTTTAAAGACCAGATGAAATTACTATTAATAAGAAATTATTATTGTAATAAAACAGATACTATCTACTTATGAAAATATAAATATATAAGTTAAAACACCAGCATCTTTTATGGTTGATGAGATAAACAGTTATCTCCAATAAGTGTGAACAAACAAAAACTATACTTAACCCTTGATTTACATAGTAGTTGGAATTGCATAATTTTGATTTAACATAGCATTTTAAAATATTTTTTAAAATCCAGTATTTTATTTTCAAATTAAGTATTTTCATCAATAAAATTAATGTTTAGACCTGTGCTAACTATTAATATATATATAAACATGATATTGAATTAAGGAACTTACAAAAATTAAATAAAAATATAACTTTCATAACAGATTTTATTAAGACTATCAACATCATCAGTAAACTAATAAAAAAAAAACTGGGATCAAAGAAGCTTGTAACATATATGATGTAAGAATTTCAGTTAAAAAGAACAAGGAAAATTCTTTATTAACAAGTGAAGAAGATACGGAATAAAATTACATTTTTATTCATTTTAATAAAAAAAGAAAAAATGGAACCTTGGAACTCAATCTCCCATTTCTCATAAATATTAGTCATAATCTACATGATTTCAATTTTACACAGAATGTAAAATTAGGTTGTATGTAGTTGCATGCATATTTACATGTATGAAAAGAACTTCAAAATGGGACTTTTCCAGTTTTAAAAATTGACAGCATGTTTTGCAAGAATTGCTAATTGAGGGATTCCTTTTTTAATTGTGCAAAAATTAACTAAATAAAAAAATTGTTAGTAAAATTCTTGTCTAATTACACTTATATTATTAAAAGTAAAATTGTATGTGCACATTTGAACAGATATATTCACTATTTAAAAAGAATCCTGCATTCTATTCTGTGCTATCAATTTTGTAAATTGATTCAATAAGATTAAAAGATAAAATTTAAGTGGAAATCTGACCAGAAACCTAATATCTGTATGGTTAAAATCCTTAAAAAGTTTATTGAAATGTATTCTTTAATTTTCATTGATAAAAATTATAACTGTTTCAAATATATTATTGTTTTAGAAACTATTTACTAAATATGAACATAAAAATAATTTAGACTAGTTTTTACTTACTTGTGAACGAGAATGTGAGATATGCATTCTAGTCAAGTTACGGCCATCACTAAAAGAAGATGCATCAGAATGACATCCAAGATAAGCTCCATAGTCGTCACCAAACTCAATCAGCTTTCTCACTTCCTCATCATTCAATGCTTGTTCTGAATAAGGCTCACTAAAATAAGGGGGATCCTGTTAAAATAAATTAAATTTTGTTAAAAATTATTGTAATCATTTTCATTTTATTAATAAATAAATGTGGAATATAACAACATAATTTAACTTCAATGTAAAGCATTTTAAAATGTTAATTTCTAAACTTTTCTTTACAACTTATGATTACAACAATTTTCACAAAACAGCAAATTTTTATAATTATATTAATTTTAACCTGTCAAGAATATAGTTTGGTGGTTTGATTGTGACTTTATTACAGTATTAAAATTAAAAAATTGATAGATTTTCCATTTTGATGATGCTATTTTATATTAAACAATTTTATTTTATTTATAAATACTTAAAATGATTAAAAAAAAAA